TTTAAATGTTGCTCATCAGATTCATTTCCCTAAATTTCTTTTCCATTAAGACATTTTTCCTATGTCTCTACTTTAGACATTTTCGTGCAGCATTCTAAAATATTATTTTTCTCAAATATGACCCTTACAAGTAATATTATATTTACTATTCAAGTGTTTCGTCTAAAACACATATTTTGATTTTTGTAATGAGTCTTTGATTATTTAAGTGTTGACTGACGGAGGTTAAAATACCTTACACTTATTAACTTCCAAATTTGTTGAAAAAAGGTATAATGGTTATTCTACTACTAGTATGATAAGGATAAACATCATCCGCAATTCCTCATCATTTCACAAAGAGTTCCTGCACAAGTAGATTCAAACTAAAGTGTACATACAATCTCCAGAAGCAACTACCTACCACTAATAAATTACGAAGCTTTCATGAAATCTATTATTCGTCTCAATAATGAATAACAAAAAAATATATATATGAATAAATTAAGCAATGAACTGATCATATCACTATATATTCCAGATATCCAAGAAAAATTAAGAAAATTGTGACGTGTAAAACAGCTCCAATTTTCTCACATCTATAGGCTATGGGTGCAAAAAAATTGATCGGTTGACCCCACTTAAAAGCAAATAAATGATGGCATGAAATTATGATAAGCCATTTTGGTAGGCACTGGTAAGTGGCACTCTTCTACTTGGTTGCATTTGCACCCATTTCATGTGTCGTTTAAATACATTTTTGATGTTTTTCGATTGGCTCAATTCATGACTGCGTGACAGGATGTCCATTTTATTGATGATGGCCCCCATATTGGATTAGCCTTTGGCGTGTGCTTGTTCAGATCCTGACTTCTATGAGTCCATCATGAACCCAACAAATAGCGGGGAAGAAAAAAAAGATCTTTGCATATTACCACACACCAAAGCTCGTGAAATTGGTAAGTGGGGCCCAATTTGTGGGTTCGTATTGCTGTTGCCATGAAAAAGTATTAAAGAATTGCTTGCCGCAACTAATACTACCACCATTATACACATTATGGATAGCATTTATATTTTCTATGTATTTACAGGTTGTACTTTCTTTTTTTTTTCTTGTCCCCATTAGTCAATGAATCAAATTAGGACAAATTATACTGTTCTCCTTAAACTATTGGTCTTATAACAAAATACCTTCTAAAATTTAAAAATAATAATTTTTTTTTCTAAACAATTCGCCACGTATCTTATTTTTTCGTTTATTCAATTAAATTTTAAACATTAAGTATCACGTTAGTAACATATGACTCTCATTTTAAGGGTAATCTAATAATTTTTTCATGAATAAAATTTTAGTAGGTATAAGTATTTTTCAATGCTTAAAATAAAAAACATAATATTAAAAAAATAAAATACAAACATGGATAATGGTGGAGGAAAATCAAATCAACTTTGGGTTTTCGTCTTCTTTTTTTTTTCATAATATGGGTTTTTTGTTTGTTGATCTTGGTGGAATATATATAGTTTGGTTGCAGAGATCCAAGGTTAGGGATTTTTTTTTCAAGTTTTTGGGCATGTATATAAGAAGTCAGAAAGTAAGAGAAGGTTTGTGGCTATGAATTGCTTCCACCCCCAAAGCTAATTGCCTGACGATGCTAAGACAAGTTGTTAGTGATGATGGAATTGCTCTCTCTCTTTTCTTTTTTATGATTCTGGAGAACACAGGGGCTGTTCTTTTATCATTTTTAGATTAGGTGATTTGAGTGTAGATTTTAGGTTAAGTTTGAGTTATAATTTGAGTTGAAGTTATAACTTAAATTTTTGTTTGGTTGTTTACATTTAAGTTATGGTTTGAGATAAAAATCTTTTTGAGTTTGTGTTTGAGTGAGTCAAAACTTGAATTTGTATTTAGATAGTATTTTAATAAAAACTTAATGCTGATGAAAAATTTTAATAGGGTATATGGGTGGAGTTTTATTCGTTTTTTCATTGTCAACGCATAGAAAAAAAATTATCTCAATCAAAATTAAAACGAAAAAGTTATAGCATTTTTAAAAATATAAAAAAATATTGTTCATTAATTTGAGTTTGAGATTTTGAACTCAAGTTAAAAGGGACACTTGAACTCAAGTTTTAGTCTCAAACTCGAGTTTAAACTTAAAAAAATATGAACTTGAATAAAATTAAAACTCGAATTGTCTTTTTTAAGTTTTTTAAGCAGCCGAACACACGGCCCCGTTCATTTCGCTGATTCGAGTTTAGAATTCGAGTTTTTCTACAGTAAAAAGCTCTCACAAACAATCACATCTAACTTTTTTGCTACAGTAAAAAGCTCTCACATAAAGTCACATCTCAACTCGAATTAAAAACTCAAAGCAACGAACTAAACGGGCCAACTTAAATTTCAATCTTAAACTCAAATTTAAACTTAAAAATATATATATTTAAATAAAATTATAATTCAAATTATTTTTTTTTAATTTTTAAATAAAAAAAGAGTTACCGGACGGCCCCGTATAAATTTAAAAATTCTCTAAACCCATTACTCATGCACTTCATCACTTTTTCTTCTTCTCACTGTAATAACAAAATAAAAAAGTAAAAATCTATCATCAATATCCCAAACACATCAATTTCGAAGATCAAACCCAAAAGGCTTCTTTGAAACAATATCGTCTAATCACCAAGCCCTTCTCTTATTGCCTTTGGTCATCGACTTAATGATTAGAGCAATAATCTACGACTAAACAACCGAGATCTCTGGTTTATTGTCAGGAAAATTTCAGGAGAGCAGCGACGACAGAGGAGATTGATTCTGATCTGCACTGTTGAGTCCGATCTTCAGTCCTCGCGTGACCCCAGCCCTGGCGAACCCCACCCCCGCGCGATCCACCTCCGGCGAGCCCAGATCTGCAGCCACCGACCCCACCCGCACGATCCACCTCCGGCGAGGGAATGGAGTGCGAAGTCATGTAAAATCAGATGAAATAAAAGAGAAAAAATGGGAATTTTAATTTTAATTTTTGTATATCTGGGTTTCGTAAACTCATCATTTCATAATACAACAAAACTTAAATGTCGTGATTTTTACGAGTTACTTCACGTTTAAAATTTATCTAAACAGTACAAATATAACATACTAACAATGAATTATTCAAGAAAAAAATTTATTATTTTTAAAATTTAGAGGATATTTGATTAGAAGGCCAAGACAAGTGTAATTTGACCATCAAATTATCAATCATAACTGGACACTGCTGGTCAACTTTGGACTGGCTGCTGTGTAGCCCAAAATGACAGTTGGATCATTAGCTATCTAAGCCCAATGTAGGCCGAAGCCCAATATAAGCTCATTTGAATATTAAATTATGCATTTTTTTAACAACAAAAGTAATTAAAGAACAAACACATGATTTTATCAAGCTAATCATGTCTGATGTTCGACCAATAATAGAAAGCATTCAGAAATCTGACTTAACTCCAATGTCAAACACCTTAATATTAGAATTTAAAGGATGGGCGCATTTACTAAAACATAAAGGAATGTAATGGAAAAAGTAATGTAATAGAAAAAATAATGAGATTAAAAATAGAAATAAAGTAATAAAATTAAGGGTCATTCATTCATGTGTTTACTTCATTATTAGATGATGTAATAGAAAACAAATTCATTCCCTTTTTTATGTTTACTTAAATTAGGAATAACAATTTCATGAATGTACTCACTAAAATGTTCTTTTACGTAATTAAATTAGTAATTTATTAAGGGTAGATAAGTAAATTTAGCATTCATTTTCTTTAATAAAGAATAAATATTAAGCGGTGTGTAAAGATTGATATTCTCTTTTCTCATTCTCATATTGTGTGAAGCCCACTAAATTTTTATTACTAATTTTAGAAGTAAATACATTATTAAATAAAAAAATAAATTATTCCGTACTTTCTCCTTTGATGCAAAATAAACACGCTCGAAATTTTTTACCATTGAAAAGGATCTATTCTCGTCCATCTCTTAAGCACATTCATCAGTACAAGGAAAAAAATACCATAAATTAAAAATGAAAAGCCAACTCCCGCCCATCATTGTTACTGTATTAGATATCAACCAATTATCTTATCTTACTTCGTCACGCTTGGCAATTAACAAACCGTTATTTTAGCATCATTTAAAGCAAGAAAAAGGAAAATCTAATTCAAAAGAGAAGTGCCAGAGAAGAGATAACGAAAGCAGCCAGAGCATAAGTTTGATCTTATTTTTAGGCACTAAATCGTATCGCTTAACATTGAACTTTAGATTTAACGTAAACCTCTAATTTTTCTTAGCTAGCTTATAATTAGCCAGACCAAAAAAAAAAAAAAAAAAAGATCCAAGCAAAAACAAAAAAGTCAAATCCTTTCATTTTACAGTTGGCATAATATAATTAGTAGGCATAGCTATAACATGCTCCAACTGAAGCAACTGGACAATAACGTAATAACACAGATACAATATTAAAATCACACCCAAGCAATCCGTGAGGTATTAATTGATAAAGTCTTGTGGTTCACTCATAATATCGGATTATTGTATCACTTTTTTTTTTTATAATCTTATTAATCTATCTGACCCTTGAATCTCTATCACTTTTCAAACATTTCTTTCGTCTGTTTTAAGCAGATGTAGATATATGAAAAACCATGCCATATTATTATTTCCCTAGTTAATTACAGCCGGCTACTTCTTTTTATAGCAACCAAATTTTAATCCTCTCTAATTAATGACTAGTCCGTACTTGTTGGCCACACGTTTTCGTGAAATTGATCATCAAGAAAACGGCTCCTTCTTCAAATGACAATCATATAGAATGGCCTTATAAAAATCAGCAAACACCTTGGCCATTGGAACACACAAAACAAACATTCCTTCATTTTTCTTTTGCATAATCTCATATTATCAGCTACTAATTCCATATAATAAGATAGGTCATTATTGTACTTAATTAGTACTCTCTCGTGCTCTTTTGCCAACAATATTACTACGAAATATGGCGTTTAGTGGTAATAATTACTCTTTTGCGGAAGTGATATTTTTCTTTGTTTTAGCCTTGTCTGCCTGTGGCACTGCTGTATCTCTCTCGGTTACGAACTCGACGACCAAATCGTCGGCGGTTCTGTTGAGAGTTGACCAGTCCGGGAAGGGTGATTACAAGAAGATACAAGACGCCATTGACGCAGTTCCTGCAAACAACAAGGAACTTGTGTTTATATTGGTGAAGCCCGGAATCTACAAAGAGAAGGTTTTTGTGCCTGCTGATAAGCCTTTCATAACCCTAAGTGGCACAAAAGCTTCGGAGACTGTCATAACATGGAGCGAAAGTGGGGATATATTTGAATCTCCTACCATGACTGTTTTGGCTTCCGACTTTGTCGGGCGGCATCTCACCATTCAGGTACGTACATACATACATAAAGATACATATATTCGTATATATATGCATATATATGTATGTATAAATACACAGCATAATACATACATTATAATTACGCTTATGTTCGTGGTCTAAGTTTAAAGGGGGAAAAACTGTGAGTTTCTGCAAACTATATTTTACGTAAAATCTTCTTATAGAGCTGCTAAGCATTTCAACAGTGGAAAATTACATGTTTGTGTGGTCATATTTTTTGCGTTTATCATTTTTCTAAACATTTGCACATTGATACTCCTACATTATTCATGGTCATATATAGTCGAATAATTTAGCATTACTTTAAAGTTTAAGCAGTAACTCTCTTTTCTTTTCTTTTCTTTTCTTTTTTAAAAAAAAAAAAAAATTTGAGCGGAGACTTTTAACAATCCTAATTAAATAGTGAATTAATTTTTTATTCAAATTAAAATTACTTATATATATAAAATAAATGAAAAAGAGATTTTAAACTTATCTGGCACTTGATCAAGGGTGATCTAGAACCTCCAAAGAAAAAGTTATTCATATAATTCGGTGCCTATCTTATTAGTCAATTGCAGGAGTTTAATTACAGAATCGATACTGATTAAACGATTGCCACACCTACTTAATATTCAAAAAAGATATATAAACAATGACTTTTTATCTAATAATGACAAGCTAGCTAACTTAGATAATACCATGAAATTATCATAATCTTTCTTCGAGAGTTTAATTACAGAATCGATACTGATTAAACGATTGCCACACCTACTTAATATTCAAAAAAGATATATAAACAATGACTTTTTATCTAATAATGACAAGCTAGCTAACTTAGATAATACCATGAAATTATCATAATCTTTCTTCAGAAAAAAATTTATTATTTTTAAAATTTAGAGGATATTTGATTAGAAGGCCAAGACAAGTGTAATTTGACCATCAAATTATCAATCATAACTGGACACTGCTGGTCAACTTTGGACTGGCTGCTGTGTAGCCCAAAATGACAGTTGGATCATTAGCTATCTAAGCCCAATGTAGGCCGAAGCCCAATATAAGCTCATTTGAATATTAAATTATGCATTTTTTTAACAACAAAAGTAATTAAAGAACAAACACATGATTTTATCAAGCTAATCATGTCTGATGTTCGACCAATAATAGAAAGCATTCAGAAATCTGACTTAACTCCAATGTCAAACACCTTAATATTAGAATTTAAAGGATGGGCGCATTTACTAAAACATAAAGGAATGTAATGGAAAAAGTAATGTAATAGAAAAAATAATGAGATTAAAAATAGAAATAAAGTAATAAAATTAAGGGTCATTCATTCATGTGTTTACTTCATTATTAGATGATGTAATAGAAAACAAATTCATTCCCTTTTTTATGTTTACTTAAATTAGGAATAACAATTTCATGAATGTACTCACTAAAATGTTCTTTTACGTAATTAAATTAGTAATTTATTAAGGGTAGATAAGTAAATTTAGCATTCATTTTCTTTAATAAAGAATAAATATTAAGCGGTGTGTAAAGATTGATATTCTCTTTTCTCATTCTCATATTGTGTGAAGCCCACTAAATTTTTATTACTAATTTTAGAAGTAAATACATTATTAAATAAAAAAATAAATTATTCCGTACTTTCTCCTTTGATGCAAAATAAACACGCTCGAAATTTTTTACCATTGAAAAGGATCTATTCTCGTCCATCTCTTAAGCACATTCATCAGTACAAGGAAAAAAATACCATAAATTAAAAATGAAAAGCCAACTCCCGCCCATCATTGTTACTGTATTAGATATCAACCAATTATCTTATCTTACTTCGTCACGCTTGGCAATTAACAAACCGTTATTTTAGCATCATTTAAAGCAAGAAAAAGGAAAATCTAATTCAAAAGAGAAGTGCCAGAGAAGAGATAACGAAAGCAGCCAGAGCATAAGTTTGATCTTATTTTTAGGCACTAAATCGTATCGCTTAACATTGAACTTTAGATTTAACGTAAACCTCTAATTTTTCTTAGCTAGCTTATAATTAGCCAGACCAAAAAAAAAAAAAAAAAAAGATCCAAGCAAAAACAAAAAAGTCAAATCCTTTCATTTTACAGTTGGCATAATATAATTAGTAGGCATAGCTATAACATGCTCCAACTGAAGCAACTGGACAATAACGTAATAACACAGATACAATATTAAAATCACACCCAAGCAATCCGTGAGGTATTAATTGATAAAGTCTTGTGGTTCACTCATAATATCGGATTATTGTATCACTTTTTTTTTTTATAATCTTATTAATCTATCTGACCCTTGAATCTCTATCACTTTTCAAACATTTCTTTCGTCTGTTTTAAGCAGATGTAGATATATGAAAAACCATGCCATATTATTATTTCCCTAGTTAATTACAGCCGGCTACTTCTTTTTATAGCAACCAAATTTTAATCCTCTCTAATTAATGACTAGTCCGTACTTGTTGGCCACACGTTTTCGTGAAATTGATCATCAAGAAAACGGCTCCTTCTTCAAATGACAATCATATAGAATGGCCTTATAAAAATCAGCAAACACCTTGGCCATTGGAACACACAAAACAAACATTCCTTCATTTTTCTTTTGCATAATCTCATATTATCAGCTACTAATTCCATATAATAAGATAGGTCATTATTGTACTTAATTAGTACTCTCTCGTGCTCTTTTGCCAACAATATTACTACGAAATATGGCGTTTAGTGGTAATAATTACTCTTTTGCGGAAGTGATATTTTTCTTTGTTTTAGCCTTGTCTGCCTGTGGCACTGCTGTATCTCTCTCGGTTACGAACTCGACGACCAAATCGTCGGCGGTTCTGTTGAGAGTTGACCAGTCCGGGAAGGGTGATTACAAGAAGATACAAGACGCCATTGACGCAGTTCCTGCAAACAACAAGGAACTTGTGTTTATATTGGTGAAGCCCGGAATCTACAAAGAGAAGGTTTTTGTGCCTGCTGATAAGCCTTTCATAACCCTAAGTGGCACAAAAGCTTCGGAGACTGTCATAACATGGAGCGAAAGTGGGGATATATTTGAATCTCCTACCATGACTGTTTTGGCTTCCGACTTTGTCGGGCGGCATCTCACCATTCAGGTACGTACATACATACATAAAGATACATATATTCGTATATATATGCATATATATGTATGTATAAATACACAGCATAATACATACATTATAATTACGCTTATGTTCGTGGTCTAAGTTTAAAGGGGGAAAAACTGTGAGTTTCTGCAAACTATATTTTACGTAAAATCTTCTTATAGAGCTGCTAAGCATTTCAACAGTGGAAAATTACATGTTTGTGTGGTCATATTTTTTGCGTTTATCATTTTTCTAAACATTTGCACATTGATACTCCTACATTATTCATGGTCATATATAGTCGAATAATTTAGCATTACTTTAAAGTTTAAGCAGTAACTCTCTTTTCTTTTCTTTTCTTTTCTTTTTTAAAAAAAAAAAAAAA